AACTTTAAAGAAACATGCAGATACTATCGATATTAAACATAAAATCTTTTTAAAAAGGAAATCTACGAACTAAATATTTTCCCACTACACCTGGAAGGAAGGAAGGAAGGGGGGAAGGGGGGGGGCACTGTAAGGATCAATTATAATGCCCCTCAGTAAAAGGTTTCCATTCATGTCCTCTTTGGTCTTCCAAGTCCCCCTAGAAATACAAATTATCCATCAAAATTACTTCTTCTCTTAGGAGAATCTGCAAATCTTCTTCAAACCGAGAGCACCTTGAATGTGTTATTTAGCTTTTGAACTTTTTTTTTATAAGAATTTAGCTTTTGTACTCAATTGTGCAATCCACACCTTTTTCTTTAGGTAGTTAGTTGTAGTTTATAATGATCTTGTTTAGGAAGAAAACATCAAAAAATCAATAGAATTAAGGTTCAAAAACGAGTAAGACAGAAGTTAGAACTCTCGAAAATGTAGAATTATAAAAACCTCCAGTTTCTGAAGTCTACTGATTAAAAGAGAAAAAAAAGGTTGGATGGAAATATATTTTTACAGCTTATTTATACTAAAAGAACTTATAATCCTTGCCCTAATTTAAACCCTAGATAAAAAGGAAAAATGCTCATCACGAAAATAGCATAGAAGGGTTCCTATATTTTCAATAATTCAGTCATAAATTAAGAGTAAATGCAAAAATTCATTTTCTCATATGGTATATCACCACATGAGTGATGGAAGGGTATGAATAAGGAAGCATGTTTGCATCTTCAGCAGTTTTTAGTTCTGCGGTATTAAGATACATCGCTAAATCAGTTGGGTTTAGAGATGACATTACATAGTGCCCTCCGGATGTGATTGTATGTCCACAACGGGGAGAAGGAACTTGACCTGGAAGTTTCAATTGGGTCCATCGAGGTGTTTCATTCTCTTCCTTCCGCAAGAAAGAAAACATAAGTCAACTAAATAAAAATTCATTACAGCAATCTAAAATTAGAAACATTTATTCTAAATGCAATAAAGCAACATTGCTTGCATATATTAAAGATAAATAACTGTTGAGATAAAATATAAGAAGGGAAGGATGTCTCTCATAAAAAAATTAATTAATAATTAACAATGGGTTGGGTTGGAGGTAATAATTTAATTCATACATAGTCTGGCTTTGTCTATCCAATTGAAGCAAACATGCAGTAAGATTGTCTGTATAAAATTATCCATAGGGAAAAACAATAACATGAAAAATTTATTATCATCATGGAAGCGAAAACTGCAAATAGCCCTAGAAATAATTTTAGGATTCATGTTATTGCTCCCTTAAATATTTGTACAGCCACTAGGGAAGCTAGCTTAATCTTATATAAGAGCACTACTAAGAAATCATTTCATAGAGAGAAGCAAACATCTTTCAAATTGGACTAAGTAACTCATCAAAGGATAGTGAAAGCAATTATATAGATAGAATTAAGTAGGAAACTCTTTTACAATTTAAAAACCAGTTTTCAAGAATAATACAAACATCACTAAGGAAATTACTATTCAATAATTTCATTAAAGAAATATTGTTTATCTGCACTACTAAAATGGAAAAGAAAATTCAAATACAAACCTTCTTCAATAAGACCTTTCAAAGCCCATAAATCACTCATGATCGGCCCACCACCACCTGTCAAAGTTTAAAAAGAGTCCATGCAGCTCAATTATATGAAAAAAAGAATGTTTTTCAAAACCAAGCACGCTTCTAGCAAACAAGTATCAAAGATATATATCTTCAAGAAGACATAAAATGCCATCTTGCTTCTACCGTAAACAATATGTTACTATTATTACTTTATGAACAATGTAACAATAGGGCTGCTATAAAAGCACTTCACCTCTGCCACCAAAGACAAGCAACCGTTTCTCAACCATAGTAGCTGTGTGGCCGCATCTAGGTGGTGGTGGTGATCCAGTAACTGAAAGTTCGGTCCACTCGAGTGATACTGTTCAAGGACATCCTCTTGTTACTTAATATGTTGTCTTACTATCCAGGGATAAGTAACTTAATGAAGGAAGAAGGAGAACAAATAAAATCCCAGAGCAAAGAAGTTACTTGTGTCCAAGATATACAAATCTGACAACCACTTTTTACCATCCCAACCGCCATACCTGCACTCAAATCATCACTAGTTAAAAAATATACTATACGTAGACAAACAATCAGAGTGGAATCCAAGAATACCATACATAACAGTTTTTTTATTTCCAATAGCTGCAGCTGCAGAGAAATCCCGTGATGAAGGTAGGTCACCAAAACTTGTTAACTCTGACCATTGCCATATATCTAGAATAAATATATTCAATTGATTAAACAGGTTAAAAATAAGGTTCGAGAAGCTTACACCAAGATAATGGAAAGAGAATCTTACCAGCGTCAAGGACCCAAAAGTCACTTAACCTGGATATTAAAACCATCATCAATAGCATGTGTCTAGAAATGTTTGAGTCATAAAACAAATAGATTTGTACGGACTCTTGAAGCTTCATACCTTCTGTTACCAGAACGGCCGCCAAAGATGAACATATGACAATCAATTGCAACAGCAACATGAAATGCTCGTGGGCTGGGACCAACTTGTCCATCTGATCCATTTCCAGTACATTCTGGCTGAAACCATAGTCTGTTCTCTGCACCAATTAAGAAAAAAAGTACAGATCAATACTAGCAGATAGCCCCTTAAGGTTTATGGAAGTGATTGCCAGATGTACAAGGTTTACTTATTTTACCATTCAAACAACATAGTACGGCAACAATGAAAACTATTAAAAATATACAATAATGATTCTTAAAGAGTGCTAGGCATGTTACAGAAAAAACACCAATCATAATAAATCTCACATTTTTTTCTAGAATGAGTTGTGTTTGAAAAACAACTTACTTTACATCTAATGGTATGATGAATATCATTTAACCATCCTTAGTCCTATATACACAAGCATAGTGTCTCTTCTTCCAAACAATCAAGACATGTTAAATCGTACATTCCAAATCTGAACTATAAATCTCCAAAATAATTTCCTTTTGCATGTGTAAGCATTCATCGAAGATCAAACTCCAAATCACCAATTGCCCGATCATTGTTACAAGGATCAAGAAACCTTTTCCATAAATGTATAGAGAAACCGCATTCCCAAAAGAGGTGACACATTCTTACAAACTACACGGTAGAAAATACAAAGGTATTTAACACTGCAACTCCATATAACAATCTCTCCCACTAGCTAACTGGTTTGCATACCTCTAATGGCCACAAAGAATGAATGTAAGGATAAAATGCAAAGAACTGTTAGGAATAGAATAATATGACAAAGGGAGTTATACCAATAAACAGTGTAACTTTACCCTCAAAACTTCCCCCAATAGAAGCAACAGTGAAAATACCAATTTTGAAGGAATCTAACCCGCATCATTCTCTCCTCCAACCCAACAGATTAAGACCTCAATATAATAGATTTAATTAGCTCTAATTGGCTAGGCCGGAGCCACCACACAAACCCAGCCTGAGTGAACAAAATCCCACCGTGCTTCTAAACCCCATGCACACTTTTCCTAGGAAAAAAAAACAAGAACTCAATCCTTATAAAATCCCGAGCACCCATTTCCTGGATAAAAAACTGCACAAGCTAGCTTAAGTTGTTTCATCACTATTACTTTTACAAAGATAAGCATTAGTTTCTTCCCAAGTTCCACGATCATTCTTTTGAGAATTAATTCATGTTTTATGAAAAGAAGTGAAATTTCCCATTGATGCCATTCACAGAATAGTTGCATCAACATATAAGGAATTAAACCACTTTACTCAATTCAAAAACAAAACCTAAATCAATCGTTTCAGCACACTATTGAATGCAATTAGGTACTGGTTTTCATACAGTTAAAAACGAACTATGAAATCATACAAATTTGACCATAGGTTCTTAAAATGAGCTTAACCGGTGCATTTTCGCATGCCTAAATCAAAATTAAGGTTACAATCCAGCTGAACGAAACAGTAAAACCCAGAGCGACAATGAAGTCTTTTTTTTATTTATTTAAAAAAAGAACTTTCACCAAATACCAAAGAACAATCCCAATAAAATCTAAGAAGGAAATAGAAGGGGGAAAAAATCAAAGTACCGATGTCATAAACAGCGATGTCATTAAGGAATGAATTTCTTGTCGAGAAGGCCACCAAACACAACGATCTTGGATTTTCCGATGGGAACAGCGGTGTGACCACTGAGAAACCATGCAAGAATCAATCAGGTAAATCTTCTATTACAAAAACAATTTGCAAACACGTAGATTTAGCTTTACCTTCGAGGCTGGGGAATAGCTCCGGAGAAATCAGAAGCAGTAGCTCGAACCCAGTAATGCATTTGTCCAAAACTTGTTTTCTCTCTCAATGATTTTTATTTCTTATTCTCACCAGCTATCGAAGATTCAATAACACTGACAGCGATCGGGGTTTGATCATGAGAGAAAGTAAGGAACTGGTCAAGTTGGATTTCACTCTCGAGCCTAGTTTAGAATTAGAGGTAATGCTGCTCTTTGCAAATTTCAGTATTTTAACAAATGCCAATGGTAGGTTCTTCAGAAATTATTCCGAAATTAGTCCAAACTATATTATTTTCTAATTTTTTATTAAAATAGATACTTAAATTGTCCAAAATGGATAAGTAACCATCCCAATAATTTTCCAAAATGTCATTCCATAAAACTATAATACCACACATACAAATTCATGAGATGGTAAATCAAATCCATCTTCAAGAGAAAATAAGGGTAAATAGAACTAACTTTCGTCTCCATCGTGATATAGACTTCTAATTTCTTTGACACACTGTTTATAACACTCTGAACATCGATTAAGAAATTTTTGGTATTCGAAGACCGAAAATTCAATATTATATGCAGCTTCAACACTTTTACCTGTCTTCAATGCTTCTGGTCATGGAACATATATATGTACATATACTTTAGAAAAGTAACTAGGTGATGAATGTGTGGAGTGAAGATCGTAGAGAGGAGAAAATTGTATGCCAACCATTCTGCGAAGGATGGACAGTGTCCCAAAACAATGACAAGTTTGGATTCTCACAAATACCATACTGTTTTGCCCCACTCTCATCCATACTTCCACAGTAATATTTCCCCTTCTCTTTTCCCTCACAACATGGCTTCAATGGATTCTTCATTCCCAAACTTCCTGCAAAAATCACACAAACCCAAAATCTGATCCCTTGGCTCAATATGTCATTTCTGTGCATGTAAATGGAATGAATATAGAGTACCTGATGCACGCTTCCTGAGCTTGTTTAGAGCTGAAATAAAAACATTGTAGAGATCAAGGGTGACGAAAACTGTTGAGTTGCTCTTATCATTCAAGTTTTTGAGAGCTTGCTTCAGCATTTGGTTGTGGAACTTCGATCCTAAGTTCAAAACTTCACTGCAATTTGTATACGACGAAGAGGCAGCTTGTAGAGGTACGCATCCCATTGGCTCAATCAATATAACTGCTATTCTTTTCACTCCTAAACCTTGGATTCTTTCCAAGTTTTCGCCCAACTGCTGCATAATCGTTTTAGCGAATGCTGGCAATTTCTGACAAATGGGAAAGGAATTCAAGTTATTATAAAACGCTTGTAGAGAGGCACATAAGTAGTTTTAAGAGTTGGATTTGTGTGTGTATTTATATAAAAAGTGGAAGCTAAAAATTCAATTATTGATTGTCATATGCCGTTAATTCAATAACGGAATAATAACATAGTTAACGATTATTGACATGATCTACCATACCAAAATGATGTCATTTTGTCGACGATTATTGATGTCTAAAACGACATTGTTTTATGCACTAAATTTTAGGGATGTGTATTGATTTTGTCACTGGTCTTTTTTTTAAAAAAAAATTACTTATTTTGTATTGCACTTTTCAACCGTCATCGACAACCAATTACCACCCATTATTGGTTGTCTTTCGCGGCAAGATTGATACCCAAACGTTCATATTTCATTTACTTTCTTCTCCGATTGATTGATTTTTCATAAAACTCAATTGAAACCAATGGAAATCTCTTTAAAAGTTCGATGTATTAATACTCTGATTTGTTTCAATGACTATATGATCAGGCTAGTTTTGAAGTATGTTGTTTGTCTTCTTGAAATAATACTTCTCACAGTTCGGATTTTCAAACAAACACCTTACATCTTGTAAATCTAAGAAAGCCTCTAAACATCTGAAAAATAGTAGACTTTTAGTTTAATTTCGTCGATTTTGAGTGAATTTCGTGAAAAACTAATCTTAGGAGACAAAAGATGAGTGAAATATAAACGTCTGATACCGATTTTATTGCGAAAGATAATCAGTAATGGGCAATGATTGACTGTCGGCGACGACCAAAAAATACAATGCCAAAAAGATAAAATATTTAAAAGTTCAGCGACAAAACCGATATACCTCTAAAGTTTAGTATCTAAAATAACGTTAGTTTAGGCATCAAAACAACTTCACAAGAATGACATCGCTCTGGTGTGACATGTCACGACAACAATCGTTAATCATGTGATCGTCTCATTATTGACTTAAGCAGAGTGACATAATTGAACGTAAAACAAAAATTTACTATTATAATGGGTAAAATTAAAAAATTAGTGGTATAAATGAGTTAGCGGACAACGTTCAGTAATATCTAATGCAAGAATTAATTTTAATTGCTGTTTAACTTAAATATTATTTTTAAAAATTATTTAATAATTTATTCATTTGATATAGTGTTTAAGTCTTGTACAACTTTATAATAGACCCCAAGTTTAAATCCTCTCCTTAATAAAGTATTTGACATATTTTTTTATGAAAAATTCTATAATGTTCGTCGAGCGTGGGTGAATACGGTTAACGATGAATATTATTAAATTAATTTATAAAAAGTTAAAAATATAAAGTACTAAATGTATAACTATAAATTAGTAAAAAAAACTAAATGTAATTTAATTAAAATACAATATTTATAAAACATTAATTTTAGGGTAAATTATACCATTTACCACCTAACTATTTACCTATTTTACTTTAACCACTGATTTTTCAATTTTATCAATCGGGTCACCTAACTATTTAAATATTATCAATCAAGCAACCTGTCGTTAAATATTAACAGAGGAGATGACATGGCAGTAAATAAATTTTTAATGTCACAATCTGATTGGATGTTTTTTCTTAATATTTTTTATTTAATTTAATAAATTTTCCATCCAATCAAATGGTGTTGCGTGTCACCAATTGAATGAATAGAAAATAAATTGAATCAATAACTGTTGCTAATGGGGTTTAAACCTAACACGACATAATATATATAGTTAATGGCAATAAAAAAGGAAAAATGACCTAATAAGAACTCCAACATGAAATAATTGAATAATACAATAATATGATATATATATATATATATATATATATATATATATATATATATATATATATATATATATATATACAGACACACAAATATTATAATTGATTAATATAATGAAGAGCTTCGTTGACTAATAATTTTAGTATATTATAATTGAAATATAATGAAGAGCTTCGTTGACTTATAATTTTTCTGATAATTGAGGGCTTATCGTAGTTATCATTTTAACTTATACATTGACTTGTTTATATCCTATTAGAGTAAGAATTTTATATTTTATTATTTGTTCATTATATATTTGAAGAAAAATTTAGGGAAAACTTGATTTTATTGAATTAGTCTATTTTAATATAGCGTTGTTAAATAAGATTAGAATCCGATCGACATTGTAATATTTTAAAACATAAGATATGATACATTTCAGTTCAATAAAATTAGAATAATGAAGACAATTTATTAATTTAAAATATGTCAAATGATGCATTTCAATTATAACATATTAAATTCACTTTTATTTTATTTTTTGCATTAAATGTGATTTTAAATATAAATAAAACATATTCATTTATTAATCAATTAAAATGTTTATTTATGTATATATATATATATACTATTTAATTATTTTATGTTTGAGTTCTTATAAGATCATTTATTATCATTAACTATATAGATTATGTTTTGTATATTAGACAAATTTAGTGTTTCAACTTAATGGTTAGGGTGCCTAACGTTTTGTATATTAGACATGTGACATCATTTGATTGGACGAAAAATTTATTAAATCAAATAAAAAATATTAAGAAAACATTCAATCACACAGTGACAAATGTCACCATCAGATTGAGGATTAAATTTATAGAATTAAATAAAAATTAGGACCAAATTAATAGAATATATAAGTAATTAGTACTAAATGTGTAATTATACAAATTTTATTAACTACTACTTCATCTCCTCCGTTAATATTTAAAGGCAGGTGGCTTGATTGAAAAGATTTAAATAGTTAGGATCAGATTGACAAAATTGAAAAAATTGAAAAATTAATGGTTAAAGTAAAATGGGTAAATAGTTAGGTGGTTAATGGTATAATTTACTCTAAAAACTAATGTTTTTATAAATATTATATTTTAATTAAATTACATATAGATTTTTAACTAATTTATAATTATACGTTTAGTACTTTATAATTTAACGTTTTATAAATTAATTAAATGGTACTCGTCGTTAACGGTGTTCACCCATGCTCGTCGAGTATGACAACATCATCCAATTTTTATTGATCAATAAGATGATAATATGTTATCATCTTAATATATTAAATTAATAACTAATATGATATAGTAATAATTTTTTAATAATGTGATATTATGTCATGTTAACATTTAATTAACGATCTTATTAAAAGTTTATTTTGATTAAAATTAAAAAGTTGAGTGTTAAAGTTACCTACCAAGCTAGCATTGGCATAATTAGCCGATATAAAAATGTGAACCACAGATAACCTACCATAAACGCCCACAGTTAAAATGGTTCATTACTTGGAGTTGCAGTCTTATGTATATCTGATATTGTTTATGTTTGATATAGGAATATAAATATATAATTATAAAAATTCTCTAAATATATAAAAGAAATTTTAAAAAAATAGTGATATTTTACTCTAATATTCACACTTGATTAAGCGACAAAAAGATACCAAACTAAGGTGGTGTTTGTTTTTGCAGAGGTAAAAGGTCTGCAGTCTGCGGACCACATCTGTAGGCATCTGCAGCAGAAGAGGTGGACTAAAAGTCTACAGTCTGTAAGAAGAAGACTGTTTGTTTTTTAACGTCTGCAGACTGCTAAAATGAACTGAAATATAAATAAACTAATTTTTTAAACTTAAAAGAGTTTTGCAATACTGAGATTTAAATAATTTTAGTTTTACAATACTGAAATTTAAATAATCCATACAACTACAATAATAAATTATTTAAATAAATCAATCCATATTTAAAATAAATCAATTCATACTAATAAATTATTTAAAATAAATCAATTCATACAACTACAATAATAAATCAATCCATATTTTAAAATAAATGAATCCATACAAATAAATTATTTAAAATAAATCAATCCATACTAATAAATTATTTAAAATAAATCAATTCATACTAATAAATTATTTAAAATAAATCAATCCATACAACTACAATAATAAATCAATCCATATTTTAAAATAAATCAATCAATACTAATAAATTATTAAAATAAATCAATCCATATTTTAAAATAAATCAATCCATACTAATAAATTATTTAAAATAAATCAATCCATATTTTAAAATAAATCAATCCATACTAATAAATTATTTAAAATAAATCAATCCATACAACTACAATAATAAATCAATCCATATTTTAAAATAAATCAATTCATACTAATAAATTATTTAAAATAAAACAATTCATACAACTACAATAATAAATCAATCCATATTTTAAAATAAATCAATCCATACCAATAAATTATTTAAAATAAATCAATTCATACTAATAAATTATTTAAAATAAATCAATCCATATTTTAAAACAAATCAATACATACTAATAAATTATTTAAAATAAATCAATTCATACAACTACAATAATAAATCAATCCATATTTTAAAATAAATCAATTCATACTAATAAATTATTTAAAATAAATTATTTTAAAATAAATCAATCCATATTTTATAATAATTTATTTTAAAATAAATTATTTTATAATAAATTATTTTAAAATAAATAACCTTATTAAATTATTTAAAATTATTTTAATAAATAACTATATTTTATAATTGTTCTTGAAGATGTTTGAAGACCTTTAAAGACATAAAATCAAGTCTGCACCAAGAAGAGCTCGCGCATACGTTTGAAGAGCTTCTGTCTTCTAAAAAACAAACAGTCTGCGAAGCCTGATGTCTGCGCGTGGTCTGCGCGACGCAGATATAAGTGGTTTGAAGAGCTTGCACAGTGAAAACAAACACCACCTAACTCACCTGGAGATCATCATCGGCGTTCCTAGCAAGATAAGCAGAGTAGTCATTGTCGGAGACGGAGACGATGGCTACCGAGTTGTAGGGCTGAGCAACGAAACTGAGAAAACCGAAAAATCGACACGAACCGAGTAAAACGTTTCGGTTCGGTTTGACCTTATACGGTTCGGTTTTCGGGTTGGTTTAAAGTCTTAATTCTATTGATTCGGTTCGGTTCGGGTTTTCTATATGGAACCCATTTGTTCCATATTGAACCGAATAGACAATTTTTTTTTAATTTATAGTTTCAAGTGAATTTTTTATTGAAAAACCGAATAAACGAACCGAAAAAATCGGTTTCACATAATTCAATTTTTTAACCATTCGATTTCGGTTTAAATTCTAAAAACTCGTTTATTTCGGTTCGGTTTAAGTTTTAGTAAAAAGTTAAACCGAACAGAACCGAATACACCCCTGCGTATCATATTAAACCATTGTTAGTTTTAACAACAAAGTTCATTCAAATATAATGAATAAGGATTAGACTGTAAATTTGTAAAAGGTTAAGGACATAAGTGTAAACAAAATGAGATTAATCAATAAAATCTAGGCGATTTCCCCCAAAAATCACCCTACACCTATATATTTCTCTTTGAGGCACCGTTCAAATTATATTTTCCGATCTAACATCCTTTGCAGAAAGGCGCGCCCCTGCAATGCGCCTAGTTAAACGTGTAAAAAACACATGTGTTAATTTTGTAAATATTTTTAAAGTGGTGCCTAATATGTAATTAATTTTTGTTATGGTGATATTTGTGTAAAAACGCTAACTTTATCTATTTATTTTTTTGTGATATTATTTTTAACAACCGTTAATAATGTTTATTGACTTTTAAAATTAATTGTTTAAAAATATTAAAATAAACTTTTAATTACAATTGAGAAATCAAATGAATTATTATTCATTTTTTAAAAGAATGAATAAAATTCAATAAAAATATAATATAAAGCTAAAAAATATTACCCTTTTAATTAAAATATTCTTTTTAATATTAATTTTAAAAAATATTAAATTTTAATTTTATTAAAAATGAATAAACATTATTAACTGTTGTTAAAAATAATATTTAATGATAAGACAAAACAATTTTTGTGAAGATTGAGCAGAAAAGATCAACTCTTTGATCGGATGTTTATTCGTGGTACAATTGGGTTGATATTTAGACATCAGTTAGACAATTTTAAGTTATTGACTTTGTACGATCGAATTTTCATTCGATTCCTGTAGCTTTCCACACCTACGACTGTTTAACAATCATAAACTTAACTAAAATAAAATTTTAATTACAATTGAGGGATTAAATGAATTATTATTTTTTAACAACAATTAATAATGTTTATTCATTTTTAATAAAATTAAAATTTAATATTTATTTTATATTTTTAAAATTAATATTAGAAATAATATTTTAAATAAAGAGATGATATTTTTTAACTTTACATTATATTTTTATTGAATTTTATTTATTTTTATTGCATTTTTATTTATTTTTTTAAAAAATATGAATAATAATTAATTTGATATTTCAATTGTAATTAAAAGTTTATTTTAATATTTTTAAACAATTAATTTAAAATGTCAATAATCATTATTAACTGTTGTTAAAAATAATATCACAAAAAATAAATAGATAAAATTGGTATTTTATACGAATATCACTATAACAGAAATTAATTACATTTTAGGCACCAGTTTAAAAGAATTTATAAAATTAACACCCATATTTTTTATACATTTAACAAGACGCGTTGCAGGGGGTGCGTCTTACCCCACGTGGTGCCAGATCGGCATAAAGCGCGATGCAGAGTGAACGGCTTTCTGCAAAAGGTGTTAGATCGAAAAATATAACCTGAACAGTAATTAACAAAAAAATATATAGGTGTAAAGTGATTTTTGGAAAAAATCGCCTAAAATCTAACTAAGTCAACAATGCCTTTACAAAATTTAAATTTAAATCGATAGATATAACCAACAAAACCTTCGTTTAAATCATTGGCTAAACAATTACATAAGACAGGCATCTTTTATATAAAAAATACATTATAAAAACGATTTTGAGGAAGAGTGTTTTTTCTTCACCGAATAAAAAAAATATTAATTCAAGAATTAATAAAATAAAGTATTAAATAAAAACTATTTTTAAATAATGATGTGTTTTATAAAAATGTGATATTCCCATCGTATATAAAAATTTGTATGTAAATATCCACACACTAAAAATTCCAACCAAAACAACGGATAAGGAAACAAATAAGTGAAAATGAAAAGAGAAAGGAAAGTAATGCCTAATATGGGCTCGCCAAGCACGTGACATTGTTGTTGACAAAAAAAAAAGTAGGTCTGAATATTTTTACCAGCATCATGAGAAATTGAATGAGTAAGGTCAAAGTAGCAAGTACCATATTCACATGCACGGTAAAAAAATTAACACTTTCTAAATAAAATAAAAACAATTATTAGAGTAAACTACTTATTTTATCATTAATTTATTTTTTAATTTTTATTTTAATCATTTATTATTATTATTATAATACTTTTAATCATTAAAACGTATATATATATATATATATATATATATATACAACAACAACAAAATCCTATTCTTATATATAATTGGGTAAGGGGAGGTAAGATACTAGACTGTCCCTAACGCCAGATTGAGAGCAACTTTCGTGGAAGACCTCTGGCAATCAGAAAATTAAAAATAAAGATAAAATGCAATGCATGTATATATAAATGCATAGTTGAAACAGTCTTCATATGCAGTCTTCATATGCGCGTCTGTAATGGGAAGTAATCCTTGTAAATGAATCTCTGCGTAAAAATCTCTGCATATAAACAGAAACGTAAGACTTGGTAAAATTTAAAAAGAGGAAACATGACGATAATGATACACAGAAAGTCGACGATAACAAGCAACAAGAAAGAATAAACTCAAATGAGTTAAAACCTAAACTAAGACAACACTATTCCGTTACCGTAATTCTAAGCCTTCATAAATTTCAATGACAGAGACATAAAAAAAGTTATAAAAATTACTACAAAAACATTAAAAAAAACAGAGATGATACCCTATAAATGTAATCGAATGTAAAATCTCTTGGGGAAAAAAAGTAAAGCAGGAAGCAGCTAAATGTAAAGGGGTTATTTTATCATTAATTTATTATTTAATTTTTATTTTAATCATTTATTATTATTATTATAATACTTTTAATCATTAAAACGTATATATATATATATATTATACAACAACAACAAAACCCTATTCTTATATATAATTGGGTAAGGGGAGGTAAGATAGTAGGCTGTCCCTAATGCCAGATTGAGAGCAACTTTCGTGGAAGACCTCTGGCAATCAGAAAATTAAAAATAAAGATAAAATGCAATGCATGTATATATAAATGCATAGTTGAAACATTCTTCATATGCAGTCTTCATATACGCGTCTGTAATGGGAAGTAATCATTGTAAATGAATCTCTGCGTAAAAATCTCTGCATATAGACAAAAACGTAAGACTTGGTAAAATTTAAAAAGAGAAAACATGACGATAATGATACACAGAAAGTCGACGATAACAAGCAACAAGAAGGAATAAACTCAAATGAGTTAAAACCTAAACTAAGACAACACTATTCCGTTACCGTAATTCTAAGCCTTCATAAATTTCAATGACAGAGACATAAAAAAAAGTTATAAAAATTACTACAAAAATATTAAAAAAAACAGAGATGATAAACCCTATAAATGTAATCGAATGTAAAATCTCTTGGGGAAAAAAAGTAAAGCAGGAAGCAGCTAAATGTAAAGGGGTTATTTTATCATTAATTTATTATTTAATTTTTATTTTAATCATTTATTATTATTATTATAATACTTTTAATCATTAAAACGTATATATATATATATATATATATATATATATATATATTATACAACAACAACAAAACACTATTCTTATATATAATTGGATAAGGGGAGGTAAGATAGTAGACTGTCCCTAACGCCAGATTGAGAGTAACTTTCGTGGAAGACCTCTGGCAATCAGAAAATTAAAAATAAAGATAAAATGCAATGCATGTATATATAAATGCATAGTTGAAACAGTCTTCATATGCGCGTCTGTAATGGGAAGTAATCCCTGTAAATGAATCTCTGCGTAAAAATCTCTGCATATAGACAGAAACGTAAGACTTGGTAAAATTTAAAAAGAGGAAATATGACAAGAATGATACACAGAAAGTCGACGATAACAAGCAACAAGAAGGAATAAACTCAAATGAGTTAAAACCTAAACTAAGACAATACTATTTTATTACCGTAATTCTAAACCTTCATAAATTTAAATGACAGAGACATAAAAAAAAGTTATAAAAATTAATATAAAAATATTAAAAAAAACAGAGAGGATAAACCCTATAAATATAGCTAATCGAATGTAAAATATCTTGGGAAAAAAAAGTAAAGCAGGAAGCAGCTAAATGTAAAGGGGGTGGGTGGGGATTATTACTACTAGTCATGCTTACACCACGTGGCCTTCCCGATGAACGACAAAACACAACTCTTATTCACTGTACTGTTATCTCCATCTCCATCTCCATCTCCATCTCCAATTGCCATTTTAGTATTTATCCAAACTTTAAAGGGCCATTTTAACCAGAAAACCAACCCTCCTCTTTCCCTTCACTCTCACCACCCAATTTCTCTCCTTTAAACCTACAAAAAAAGGGTACAAATGTCTTGTCTTATCTCCTCCTATAATCTCATCCAATTCATTAACTTTTAATATAACAACCGATGGCAGCCACCACCATTAACGATATCCCTGATGTTATTCTATTGAACATCTTCGCTTCTATCTCCGACACCCGAACCCGCAACTCCATCTCCCTCGTCTGCCGTAAGTTCATGCTTTTGGACAGGGCCACGCGCCTCTCCCTCACGCTCCGCGGCAACGCCACCGACCTTTACATGATCCCCACCTGTTTCAGATCTGTCACTCATTTGGACCTCTCCTTTATCTCTCCTTGGGGTCACTCCCTTCTTTCCTCTTCTCCGCTCTTGGCTCATCGCCTCCGCGTCGCGTTCCCCGCCGTCACCTCCTTGACGGTTTATGTTAGATCGCCGTCCACGATCGAGGTTTTGGTCCAACAATGGCCTGGGTTGAAGCGTGTGAAGCTGGTGAGGTGGCACCAGCGGCTCGCCTCCTGGCCAATCGGACAAGATTTCGTTTGTCTGTTCGACCAGTGCCAGAATCTGAATTGGCTCGATCTGTCCAGCTTTTATCACTGGACCGAAGATCTGCCCCCGGTTCTTCAATATTGCCCCGAGGTATCGTCCTCGTTAGTCCACTTGAATTTGCTAACGACGTCCTTTGCTGAAGGTTTTAAGTCTCAGGAGATTAGAGATATCACCGCCGCTTGTCCTAACTTGAAGAACTTTTTGGTGGCTTGTAATTTTGATCCTAGGTACATTGGGTTCGTCGGAGATGGGACCTTGTTAGCCGTGGCTACTAACTGTCCTAAATTGACGCTTTTGCATTTGGCTGATACTTCATCCTTGGCTGATGTCCGAGGTGATCCGGAGAACGAAGGATTTACTTCCGAGGATGCGGCGCTTACCGACACTGGTGGAGTTCTTCTCCAGCTTGCCGATGCTTCAAGAGCTTGTGCTTGATGTCGGCAGGAACGTGAGGGATGCTTCGTTGGCATTGGAAATGTTGAACTCTAAATGCAAGGTTTTGAGAGTGCTGAAGCTGGGACAGTTTCATGGGATATGTCTGGCGATTGAATCTCAGCTCGACGGGATTGCCTTATGTTCGGGGCTGCGAGAGCTGTCTATTAAGAATTTGTGGGTATTTGACGAATATGGGATTGATTGCGATCGGGAGAGGGTGTTGTAAGCTGTCTAGCTTTGAAGTTCAAGGATGTAAAAGGATTAGTGAGAAGGGACTCAGGACAATGGCTTGCTTTCTAAGAAAATACTTTGGTTAAAGTCAAGATTTCTTGTTGCAAGAATCTTGATGCTGCAGCTTCATTGAGAGCTGTGGAGCCAATCCGTGATCGGATTCAATGGCTGCATATTGATTGTGTCTGGAATGGATTGGATGAGATAGGGAATTCCGAGCACAGTTTTCAGCATGACCGATTGGAAATGGGAAGCAGCAGCGAGTATGATGAAGACATGATGAGCAGGAAGAGATGCAAATACTCTTATGACGAGAGTGATTTTGACATTATGGGAAACAATGGATTTTGGTGCAAGAAATGGGAGAAGTTGCAATACCTTTCGCTTTGGATCGGTGTTGGTGAGCTTCTCACTCCATTGCCAACGGCAGGTCTTGTGGATTGCCCTAGCCTGGAGGAGATTCGAATAAAGGTGGAAGGGGATTGCAGGGAACGCCACAAACCGGCTGAACGAGCATTCGGATTGAGCTCCCTTGCAATCTACCCTCGGCTTTCAAAGATGCAACTAGATTGTGGTGAAACCATTGGGTATGCACTCACAGCACCGTCCGGCCAAATGGACCTAAGCTTGTGGGAAAGGTTTTACCTTTATGGCATCGGCGAGTTGAGGCTAAGTGAACTAGATTACTGGCCTCCGCAAGACAGGGATGTCAACCACAGGAGCCTCTCACTCCCTGCAGTTGGATTGCTGGCGGGATGTCTTGATCTTAGGAAGTTGTTTATCCACGGGACGGCTCATGAACACTTCATGATGTTCTTCCTTAAAATCCCTAACCTCAGAGACGTGCAATTGAGAGCAGACTACTATCCGGCACCGGAGAATGACATGAGTACAGAAATGAGAGCAGGGTCGTGTAGTCGCTTTGAAGCTGCACTCAATAGGCGGATCATCCTCGACTGAAATGAAGGATCCTACCCAGATTAAATCATATTTATGCTTAGTAAGAACAAGAGTAATTTTTTCCCTTTTAATTTTATGAAAAGAAATTGTCAAAAAGGCTCACACATGCCCTGCGTGTTTTTGACATGCAATCCCATCCGCCATCTTTGGCCTAATTTTGTACTGAGAAGTGCCGCGTGCTGCATCAGGCAACATTTTACAAGGCTTTATTTTTGTTTCATTCCATTTTCTTTTTATAAAAAGAAACTGCTTTTTATAATGATGAGAAATTATTAATTCTCAACAAGGTTTTTTATAATGATGGGATTTTTTTATAATGATTGAAAGATGAAAAACTAAAACAAATTGGTTTGAAAGAGAGATCAAGCAACAGCATAGTGCATGTACCTTTTTCTTGTGGTACACCTTCCCGGGGTTAGTTGCATATGAGTTCAGGAGCGATGCATTCAGGTGTTCCCGCAGATGCAGAAAATTCCTATGCAAAGAGAGATAATCAAATGTTATGGCCATTAAGCTTGTTGCAGGTGATTGGTATGGGTGACGTATCAATGATTGTGTTTTGGGAGGGATCTTGGTCAAGTCCGGGACTGATTTCTGATGAGAAAGAGGATTCATCGAAGTAGGTTTATGGATAAAAAACTAATTTGATACCATGTAGAAAATATATATTTTTGGTAAAGAGAATTATGTTTCTATTTTCGTAATGTTCACATTGAAATCGTACAGGAAATAGCCTACTAATAGGCTGAGTACATAGAGACCTATTAGGACTAAAACTTATTTAGTCCTCTGTCTTCGCGTTAGGCAAGACTACTTACACTTTGGATGAGATAAGACTTAGAATGCAATTTAACTACCGACTACTACTAACATACAGCAATTAACAATAAATAAACTACTAGTCTTTACACTATTCCAATCTACATATAACCATAAAAAAAGTAAACAAAAATCTCTCAGTTAAACATCAATCACACTTATAACTTGATGAAGCATATTCATTATTGCCATATCAACTATCAACTAGACCTATATATCTTCACCCATATTGTTGTCATAATGTCCTGGAATTTTTTTTAAGTTCTAAACCAAAAAGCAACGCAATTAGGGGTGTAGCAACTTGCTGGTAAAATCAAATATCACGACGGTTATTATTTATTAAAATAAATTAAGGACATAACAGGAACTCATGAATGGCCTAAGAAAAATTAAGTTCCAAAAATGAAGAGAATATACAAAGTGTAGATGAATATTTATCTTTAAAAAAAAAGGAGAAAGCAGAAGAAAACATTTTGAAATTAGCCATAATGGTAAAGTAAAAAATTAGAATAACAATTAAAAACAAGTGTAAGACTATTAGTAAGAGATAATAACAGTGTAAGTTTGGGAAGAAATGAGAACCCATTATCTTATGAAACTCCTCAGTTCCAAGCTAAGAACAAGAATAGTTAAGCAGCAAGGGCAGTACAATTAATTACAAAGGACATAAATCAATCCTCACCAGAATGACAGAATAGAAGCCAGTGGGAATTGGTTCAGAGTGCATTCCAGTGCTCCACAAAATCTGTGATGCTGTCTGAGATGACAATCCATATCGCTCAACATTTCTAGGAGATTCCCTGTTACTCAAACTCTCTCCATGAGAACCCTGAGAAACAGAACCAAATTTGTCAGTAAAATCTGACGGCCACCAGGTTGCATCACAAGACCCTTGCTCTGCTGAGTGATTCAAATAGCAGCCGCTATATCGCGATCACGGTGGTGTCCGAAACTACTATCGTTGAAAATAGTGGTGTGAAGTGGGATCACACCAATAGCGGTGGATCGCGGTCGCAATTTAACGAATAGCGGCATATCACGGCAATAGTGAACCGCTATTCCGCTATTTTAATTTTTTTTAAATCAACAATTTTTTATAAAAAAATCAACACTTTTAGAAAAAAAATTCAGGAGTGCAATATCCGCAATGGCCGCACTGGCATCCGCAACCACGTAACGGGACTGAAATCGTGGCCGCAGCCGCTATTTAAATCCCGTGCTGACCCTACATCATCTCGTGTATCCCCCATTTCCTCAAGTATGTGACATGAAAAACCATATTCGCATCAATCTAGGAATAATTCTCATGCAATAAAATGTTAGATGAGAAGCTTCTTTTGTAATAACTTGTTCGAGCTGGAAGCCATCAGATCTGCAAACGAAGACCATTAGACCAAATGGATAAACTTTTCTGATTCAATAGGAGTCTTCCTCAAATTTCATATAAGAGGCCAATTAAAATCTAAAATATGCTTACATCTAGAATTTCTGCTTACTTATTACTTCACAAGTACATCAGCCAGCCTATCCGAGAAACCATTTTCCCCAAGGAAATGATATATTCAGCAGGAAACTAACCCCACTTGTAAAATTATCAAAATCCTTTAGACGATCGATCAATAATCATTCTTATGTGACATAGAAAAGTGGAAAGCAAAACAACCCTAAAATGAAACTTGCTTTTTTTTTAAGGGAAACGTAATTCATAATTAACCAATAACAGCATCAAATCATAATGAAACTTAAATTCATTTCTTGCTAAATTCTTATCCACCAAAAAGAACATATATCCATTCCAATTTTCAGAAAGTAATCAGGAGTTCTCTCAAATGATTAAAATCTATTAAACAAAAAAGAAACATGAATGAAGAAGAAAATCAAATATAGATCAAATTAGAAGATCTATGAATGGGAAACGTAAGTATATAAATGATTGAAACAAATCAAAATCAGCAACGCATTCTAAAAAAAAACATTACACTAATCCTATAGCATTTGAACCTCAACTCCTCCGAATTAGCCCACAAACACGGCAGCCAGAGAGAAAGAAACCGGTGATTTACTCAGAGAGAGATTGAAAGGTGAATAAAAATAGGTAAACTATAACCATGACCACTTAACTATTATATCTTTTAATTTTAAGTTCTTAACTATTTAAATGATATCAATTAAGTCATATATTGCTCAAATTTGTACTAATACAATTAATAAAATTTATATAATTACATTTTTAATTCTTATTAATTAGATATTTTATTAATTTAGTCAAAAATTTAAATTGATTTTAGTAATCAACGAGAAATCAATTTTTATGATAAATCGTAGTCCAAATGGTGATCCCTTTTATGCAAAATATAAACTCTCAAATACTTCAATAGGGACATGGACTCCAAGTCTTTGGTTGATCACGGCCTTTAGCTCTTCATTAGTATTAAGGGAAAAGTAAATTTCTAATTTGATTTCCGTTTGCTTATCCGATGTCCAGAAAACAAAAGGTATTTTCAATATTTATTAAAATTGTTATTTTGGATTTTTTTTAGTACTTCACTCTAAATATTTATTTTGGGCCAAAAAGCCCATCCAATATGAAAATCAATAATTACAAAACAATTAATTCTCCAAAAGTAGAGGTCTTTATACTCTAAAATGAAACGCTATTGTCAAAATACTTCAAAAAATATCATTTTGAATAATATGTCGGAGGATCAAAATGATTATTTTAATAAATGTTTGAGTGTAATTTTAATATTATGTCACAATATTATTTGGGTCAAAATGGTCATGAATGTACTTTACCATAAAAAAAAACATCTAATAGTTAAGTGGCTTAATGTAAAAATAAGTACACAAGTTATACTCGATATTAACTTTTGATGTCTAAAGAATTTTTCGTTAAAAATAAGTGCATAACATTTTCTTCGTTACACTTTTGTTGGAAAAATTAATAAATAATTGAATAAAATTGATATCTTTTAATAATAAGTTATGTCACTTGGTGAACAGACTTATTATTTAGTATAAAATTGCATCAATTCAATTATACCTATTAGTTTTTCAACAAATCTCTTCATCAAAAGGTCATAACCTTTTGATTAGTTTCATCTCCTCTATAAATAGGTTAGTTAAGGCTCAATCTTAGAGATAATTCCCAAAACATTGGAATAGGAAAACTCTTAGAAATTCCTTTCAAATTTGTTCTTTCTAGTGATAGAGAAAGGCAAGATTGTGTTCGACTGATCACTACGGTTGTGCTTACTGTTGTGATCGTTTGTTGTTGTATCCTGGGAGACCGGCGTCCAACGTTACTCAAAGTACCGAGGAGAGGACAAATTTGTCTTAAGGAACTGTTCATACAAGCCTCTACAAAAATCATTCTTCGATTTATCATACTCTACTCATCTGATTCCGTGTCTACATACTAGTAAACAAATCACGTTCCTCTATTTTAATTATTTATTTATTTTGCTTTGTTCGATCATATATAATATTTATTTATTATTATTATTTTATCTCAAATTAATAATTTCGTCTAACAATCTTACGACAGATTCTTTCTTATTTTAAATCCAAGACGAACTTGATTATAAGTTTGTTCTTAATTGTACGAAAGAGTCAAATTGCATGTCATTAGGAGGAACCAAGCCAAAATGAAATTTCTCAAGCAATTTGCAGTTTCGAATGCAAACGAGTCTTCTTGTTGACTCCAAAAACTCACGTTGGTTCTAAAGGAGGATAATTATCTCTGGATCGATGATGATACACTAAACAGAGAAATGACGTCTGTGGATGTATCAACAGATGAACAACCTTGTAGACACTCCAACCATTACGAACCAGTCAAAAATGGTGGCTCCAATGCGAAAGTAATGCAAAGGTATACGCATATTAAATTCATTTAAGAATTTATCAAATTGTTTGCAACCGGTGGAAATAATCCATTGAGGCATATTTATTTGTTATAATTATTGCCTATCAAAATGTTCTGTTTTGCCTTTGTTTCATAAAATACAGTGATCACAAGCCAACTTTTGATGAAAAGTTGAGCAAAGTGAAACTTTGGTGCTACATAACAAGGCATCAAAATTAATACACATAATTGTGTTTTTGTTCCGGGTTTTATTAAATTTCCACCGTTCAACAGAAATTAGTTCTGTTTCGAGAATTAATTTATTAAATTCTCTTCGTTCAACAGAAAGTGATTCTGTTTTGGGTTTTAATCATGTTGTCCAACAGAAGTTGGTTTTGTTTCGGATTTTAAATCCTAAAATTTAACGGATTCAACAAAATAGTGTTGATTGTACATTTCTGTTTCGGGTTTTAGTTTTACTAAATTCCCGCCGTTTAACAGAAATTACTTAATTGTTGGATTTTAGTTTTGACTAAAATTCGTTGCGATAAATAAGGTACCGAACAAAATTATGATATGTATGTGAACAAAAATCGGGCCTATAATTATGTTTCAGGATTTTAATCATGTTGTTCAACAAAAATTATTTGATTTACTATTGATAACAGAAATCGTTTGGAGGTAACAACATTGTTACAAATTTTGTTTTAGAAATTTAATTTCTAATTTAATTATGTTGTTTAACATAAACAAATGGTAAAATAAATTGAATTACCTTTCAATTTATTGTTGGAATATTTACAAATTTCGGTTACGTGTTTTAAACGAAACAATGGTAACCCCACTGATTCACCTAACTTGTGATTTGAAATGTTGATTCCTATTCACTTTGAATAAAATTCAACGATGTCAGTGGTTGTGAGCCACAACGAGAAACGTGTGAAATTCATGGATAGAATTTCAATACATAAGCGACGTAAGATTTTATATTTAATCATGTTGAATATGGTCAAATATAGGATGATCCTCCTATTCATAGAGAGGATGAGATAGACATTGTTGTCATTAAAGCTTGAATGCATTCTAAGTTTCTATGTCGAAATTACGTCTTGAATGGATTGTCATATACACCATATGAAGTGTATAGTATCCAAAAGATTGCTAAAGAATTATGAATGACATTTGGTCATGTTCTAAGTTGTCACAGAACATGTGGAGGAAGCTATTTTATTACCAAATTGCCTTTAAATAAGGTAACTTACAAGAAAATAGACGATACAACATATGAGTTATGGAAATGTAGAAAAATTTCCTACAACTACATCAAAGTGTGGGGGTATCTTGTGTAAGTATAATGGTAAGTCGAGACACATACGTCATCGACATAATATCATTAAACAATTGATCTCAACTAGAGTTATCTATATTGATTTTGTAAGATCAAAAGATAATATTGTGGATCCACTAAACAATGAGTTGAATCGAGATCCATTTGATAAACATCGAAAGGAATGTGACTAAAGCCCATTAATATTTAAAGCGCTATGTGAAGGAAAACCCAACTTAGTTGACTGGAGATCCCAAGATCTAAGTTCAATGGGACAACCTACTTGCATAGACCTTGTGAGGTCATTATGGGGGTTCTTATCCCCAAGTCCATTCCTATGATGAAAACAGTGACTAAAATGTGGAAAATGTTAAGCAATGCTTTTAATGACCACTATGTGTTTTGGTGAGCCGAACAACATAAGTCACCTATGTGAGAGTGAAGTGGAGCCGCTTCAAAGAAACTATTGGGGCATAGTTCTCTAAACTCTTGCAGAACCAAGAGATGTCCACGGCTATATGGACATAACCATGAGAACCAAATTCTTGTCAGTAAGATATTTGTGTGAGGTATGTCATCGCTTACACCAACGGCAGAACAGTTCAAGGACGTCACGTCTACTGGACAACCAGTAAGGTAAACATATTTTCACAATGGAAGGTTCAAAGGGGATGCCTACCTATCATATGCAAATATCGAACGTAGAATCTATCACCATATCGAGTCAATGTTTGAAATCATCAATTTCATTCATGTGGGGGATTGTTGGAAAAATTAATAAATAATTGAATAAAATTGATGTCTTTTAATAATAAGTTATGTCACTTGGTGAACAGACTTATTATTTGGTATAAAATTGTATCAATTCAATTATACCTATTAGCTTTTCAACAAATCTCTTCATCAAAAGGTCATAACCTTTTGATTAGTTTCATCTCCTCTATAAATAGGTTAGTTAAGGCTCAATCTTAGAGACAATTCCCAAAACATTGGAATAGGAAAACTCTTAGAAATTCCTTCCAAATTTGTTCTTTTCGGTGATAGAGAAAGGCAAAATTGTGTTCGACTGATCACTACGGTTATGCTTACTGTTGTGATCGTTTGTTGTTGTATCCTGGGAGACCGACGTCCAACGTTACTCAAAGTACCGAGGAGATGACGAATTTGTCTTAAGGAAACTATTCATACAGGCCTCAACAAAAATCCTTCTTCGGTTTATCATACTCTACTCATCTGATTCCGTGTCTACATACTAGTAAACAAATCACGTTCCTCTATTTTAATTCTTTATTTATTTTGCTTTGTTCGATCATATATAATATTTATTATTATTATTTTATCTCGAATTAACAATTTTGTCTAACAACTTTAGGTGCCTAACATTTTGACATTATAATTTAGGTGTCTGGGTTGTCACCGTAATTAAAAAATATTGTTATCTTGCAAGTGTTAAGTTTATAAAATTTTATCAATTTTATTTTAAAATAAAAATGAATTTTTAATGTATTTAAAAAAACTCAAATTTCTTTAGAATTTTAAAAAAAATCTAAACTTTTAAAATTCTTAATTTCAAATCCATTTACATCTGTCACCGAAAATCTTCGACCACCATCTTCGTTGTTGAAATATTACCTACACATCACCGCTTACTCATTAAGTGGTCATTTTTCTTTACTTTTGTCCCAAATTTTAAACTTCTAAATCCTTAACCCTAAATTTAATGGGTAGATAATTTAGTAAGAATTTAATCTTAACAATCTCAAATACTGGGAGGAAGGGGGACGGTAGGGGGAGGGGAGGATATTTGAGGTGGGGAGGGAATTGAGAGGGAGCTTGGGAACAAAGGGGGTGAATGGGAGAGAATTTTTTTTATATAAAAATATATGTT